TGTACCTAATTTATAGAACTAAATCGAAATTTCGATGAATTTCTTGCTCAAAATATTCTGAAACATTTTGATATGGTATAAGTTATGAACTTACGTAAACTCATTTTAGAATCTTTTGTGTTTATCATTTCTGTATTTTTTCCTCATTAAATGATCGAAAATTGTGCTTCTTATTATTACATTTTTTGGAATTGAAATATTTGAAATTTAATAATTTCCAAAGCCGGAAAAAACAGGGTCTTTAAGTAATAAATATTTAGACTACAATCTTTGCTGAATATATAATTAGTTGAATATTGATGTGCAACGAGGTTGCTTATAAGTCAAAGCATTTTCAAATATCATATTTAATGTTTTATCTCTAACTTATAAGAACAGAAGAATACTTAGTTTTTTATCTGAAAAATAGCGAAACTTTCAATCCATTGATATTATTATTATAAATTACATACCTTTGGAAATAGTATTAACATATATATATATATATTTTTTTTATTTATTTATTTTTTATCGAAAAATATTACAATCTGTCTCTAAGACATTTATAATAGAGTTCACAGATCACATTCACACTATATGTACAATAAGTAAAACAAATTATACAGAAAAATAATATATATACAATAAACAAGAACAAAACAACCTAAAAATAAACAAATAAAAAGAACACATACACACCTATATACAACAGAACAGAAGTTGAGCGCTATTTGCGTCTCCTACGACTGGATAACTGGGTCTCTACTTTCAATGTTACTAATCATATTTTTTGTTTTTGTTTCGAATTGTTCTCCTTTTCCTAACTGAACCTGTGTACATCGGTAATCTAATATGCCAAGAAAATGAAACAGAATTTCTTAACTAAATGTAAACTATTAAAATTATTCTAAAATGTTATTTAGGATTCAAAACATGTAAGTTTCCAAAAAGTACAAATATTTATGTAAAGTAACTATACCAATGTAGTAAAATTGTATATAGCTATTGTTAGTGCAAAAGGTGACATTTTGCAGTCAGCAGCTGCAATAAGTAATATGGTACTATGGAAAATAGTATGAAATTAATTATATAATATAATTAAATTATATCAATAAATTATAAAAAAAAAAAACATAATTAGTTTTTATGGTCTTCTGTAAAAAACCTAATTTTTCGCATACGATATTTTGCAGTAACAATAGCGATATTTCAAAATAATCGCTTGTTTTTTTTTTTTTATTTATATGATATTTACAACTGTATACAAAAAATACATCTAATAAATTCGCACATGAATATAATGACATGAAACACACCTTATAACACCTTGAAACACATGTTGAGAAACTACCCATTGGTTGCACTCAAATAATATGTCTATATTAGTAGGAGATCACGTGGCCATCTTCTTTTCAGACGCCTCGGAGGGTTATCAGGAATTGAATAGGAAGCAAGGTTAGAAACAAGAGGGTTGGGATGGTTATGAAGTTTATTATGGAAGGACAGTCGTTTCAGTCCGGTATGAGGATTTAAAATTAGACGTTTGTCCAGGTGGAGTCCTAGGTAACGGATTTGTTCAACAGGAATAAGTGAGGTGTTGTTAAAGTATACTGAAGGGCAGGAAGTCATTGGTTTACGACGAAGGGTGAAGGTAATTTGATGGGATTTATTGAAATTTATTTTAATTCTCCAGTTCTGACACCATTCTTCAAAGTTTATGAAGTGGGATTGAAGGGTTTGGGATGCAATAGATGGGTCGTTATTAACTTATAGGATACATGTGTCATCAGCATAAGTGGTGATGGCAGTGTTGGAATGGGTTGGGTTGTCAGCTGTATAGACTGTGTAAAGGATAGGACCTAGAATACTACATTGAGGAACACCTGAAGACTGGGAAAAGCGGGATGTATACACATTGTTGTGATTTACTTTAATGTATCTATCAGCAAGGTAGGAACAAATAGTGAGAAAGTATGTAGATGGTAGAAATTTTTGGAGTTTGTACAGCGGTCCCGGGTGCCAAACTATATCAAACGCCTGTTCAACGTCGAGAAAGACTCCCGTACAGTACATTCCGTGCTCCAATGCAGAGGATACTACGTCTACCACACGATAGCATTGCTGTATAGTGGAATGGGAGGAGCAGAATCCAAATTGGTGATCTGGGATTATTTGATTAGAATTTAGGATGGGGTACAGGAGTTTTAAGATTAGTTTTTCCAGGATTTTTCCCATGATGGGTAAAAGAGATATGGGACGGTAAGAGGATGGATATTCTGGTGGCTTTTTGGGTTTGTGAATCATTTTGACAATAGATGTTTTCCAATTATCAGGGAAATATGTGGATCGGAGTACAGCATTATATATGAAAGTATGGAATAGGATGGCTTTTCGAGGAAGAAGTTTCAAGATCTGGGATGTTATTAGGTCATGTCCAGAAACTTTACGGTAGGGTAATCTGCGAATGATGTTGGATATTTCTGTGGGATGAAATGCTTTAGGTGGAAGGAACATTTGGAGAGGAGTATCCAGTTCTGATTCAATACATTCGATGTGGGTTGGATTGAGGAAATCAGGATGTGGGTTGAAAATTTGGAAGAGATGATGATGGAATATTTGGGCTTTTTCTTCGTCGGATTTAGACCAGGTTTGGGATTCAGTAAGATGTGGGTGATTAAAGTCTTTAAACTTCAGAAGTTTTTTGGTTGTCATCCATAGTGATTTGTCAATTGTTGTAATATTTTCAGATAGGTTAAGTAATTGTTGAGTTTTATATTTTCTGATTTTAGTTTGTTAGTCAATTCGTTATAGTACATTTTGTCTGAAGGATATCTAGTCCTGTGCCACTTCGATCTTTCTCTGTGTTTATCCCATAATAAGATTCGAATATGTTGTGGCAAGTTAATATGTCTTGAATTATTGCTTTTATTATTAACAAATGTGTTATTATTTATACTCGTTGTTATAGATGTAGTAAGGTTTTCTATGGCTTTATCAAAATCTTGTTTTGTCTTAAGGAGAATTTTTAGGTCCAGTTTATCTTCCAGATCATCACGAAATTTGTCCCAGTCTAAATCGCTTGTTAAAATTTAAAATAAAAATTATCCTTTTTATAATTAAAGTTCTAAACAATGTACAAACTATCGTTATAAAAAATACTAATATTCTTTTTAATGTAATTGGTGGGTCAAGTGTATAAAAGAGTAATGCATTTTTAGAAAAAATTGAAGTATTGTTAATTATAAAGGGGTAAAGTGATATCTTATTTACACAAATATTTGGTCCATAGCCGAGTTAAAATGTTGACGATAAATTATTTGCCTTATTGTAGATAGAGGTACTTTGAATTCAGTCTTCTGAGCGTTCAAAATGCCAATTAGTCCCCTTTATTATCCACTTGAAAGTGTTGATATATTTTCATCGAATTGGAAAATTAATCAAAATTTTTAATTATCCAAAAAGTAAGAATCTTACTTCAACTCTAAACTTTATTAATTATTTAGAGGCCAAGTATATTTTTCCCTTTTTACCTTAAATTTTACGTATACGATAAACAAAAAAAAGTTTGTAAATTTCCTTTGAATTTACAGATTAGCTGCTTATGGCGTCTGCTTGTTGGGGTTATTGTTCTCCGCTAACGGTAACCATTGCTGAGGGAATGAAATAATTACTATATTGGAGAATGATATACATCCGATTCAGATATACAAATATTTTTTTGACAATTGAATAATTAATGATGATTCCTTTTTATTTAATAATTAGTTCAACACAATAAAAGTTAGTCTTCAACCTGAATGTAAATAATTAATGATAATAAAAGAATAAATTTGTAGGCAGTTAATTAATGCTAATGACATAATATACCGTAGTTGGGGAACCTTTTTTTCATTAGAGGCTGCAGTAAGGTTAGGCAGTTCTAATGCAAGCAATGGTTCTTTATAATTTACCGTTTATCACTAAATACACACAACCACATAAATACATTCAACTTAATTCTATTGATTTCCAAAATAACGTTACTTAAATAATTAAATATTAATTAATTCAAGCACTAGATTATTAAATATCTCACAAAACGCCTCAGAGGCCACATGCGGCCTTCGAGACTACGGTTCCTCACCTATGTAATGTACTATAGTAAATGAAACTGGTTAACTTAATAAAAGACATAACAAAAAAAAGAAATAAAAGTTTTTTTTTCTATCCTCTCTTTAATATCCTTCTATTTCTTGTAATTAGGTAAATTTGTCTGTCCATTTTATAATCCTTTTGCTGCTAAAAGCATTGTAAGGTGTATTTTAGATGAATGTATTTTTATGAGTTTCACATTAATCTGATATATATCATTGATGGGTCTTCTGATCTGATACATATCACTTCTGACTTGAAAGTATAAGTAAAACAATTTGTATTATTTAGATTAGATTATTTATTTTAAAACACGGGAATTACAAAATTATTTCAATATATTCCATTTCCAAAAATGATTAGCATAAAGTTCATGTACCAAATACTCTAACACCATCCAATGTGATTGAACCATAATTAGAGAAATGGGGTTGTAAACGCCCGAAAAGTTATTTGATAAAACTTAAATTTCTTGTTATTACCATAATACAAATAATAATAACATAATAGCTAGAAATCAAGTGATGATGTTCGTTAGAGAATAAAAGTAAAACTGGAGTTCAGTCTTTATTTTGCAAGAAGTTCTTCGTGAACCTGCCGTCGCTCTCTTTCGATCCATGGTATTATCAGCTGTCTTCCAAAGAGCTGATCTCGGCTACGCCCTTCTATGGAAATTACTAAATATTGGATGAATTAAAATTATTCTTTTTGATAGCATATCACTCTAATGATTGTTATATTTTCCTGCATGTATTAATTACATCATAATATAAATATAGAACAATAATGAACCTTTAAATCTACCAAAACTACTTCGCCGCCGCAAACGGTGAAGCATTCTCCCTTGAAGTTCCACCGAAGGCCACTCGGGGCAGCACTATCACCTCAATAGCTGACACAAGTCCCAAGCCCCTCCAGTGGCCAGTCTCGCTCTCTTCTTGTTAGTGTGCAGTTCATCCTTGTCGGGAATCCTCTGCAGGTGAGTCAGTGTTTAGCTTTCTCTATTCTAGTGTTTGCAGTGCGGCGTCAACTGTAATCCAGTCTGCCTCAACATTTTATGTAATATTAATTAACTGGTCTATTCTAATTCTCGAGTATCTGTTGAATTTGTCCTACAGACACTGGAGATCAGCCCACACTTGCCGGTAAACCAATGACCCGAGAAAAGTATGAAATTAACAGTTAACAACTTTTACCAGCCACCTCCAAAAAATTATTTCATTCGCGATTTGAATATATAAATATTTGTCTTTTAGAAAAAGTTAGATTTTAATTTTTTTTTTTCCATGAAGTATTTTGTTTCCAATTTGTAACTACATACTTAAGTAAATTAAAATAGATTCCAATGTTTTATTACTTATGTATTATTTTAATTTTAATCTACACGTCACGTTTGAAATGCAATAAAAATTAATGAATTTTAGGTATGTTTTATTTTTTTCATTTGTGATTATATATCAAAGTAAAGCATATAAAGTAATTTCAATTAATTTTCGTAATTCGTTAATTTTTTTTTCATTTGTAGCAGTGGTGCTAAAGCCATTTCCTGGATAATGTTATTAAATTACGGTATTTTAATTGCCAAAGAAAAATTAAAAGTACGTTTGTGAGGTTGATAAGGAATTCAAGTTGGGTGATATTCCAACAATGGGACGCAATACAAGGGTGATCGTTAATTAATAAATGAAATTCTCCTCTCCAAGTGGTTCTTTGTTAGTGCTATCTCCCTCTTGTATCCCATTACAACAAGTTCTCTTTGTGAATGTTAAACAACAATTCTTAAGATTTTTAATTTTTGATACTGTCATAATAGTATTGTAGTGTAAATAATGAATTATCTTAGATATTATTTGAGGAACATAAAGATACATTTTTGTTCTTACACAGTGTCTAGTTAAGTGTATTTATGTGTGTTGTTTTATATATATATATATATATATATATATATATATAAAATATATATCTAATTCTTTATAAAATCCAATCTCAGTTGGCTACTTCAGGTAATCCTTGAACCTCACTTCGATATGTATTTATATTGTATATTTTATTATTCGATTTCTTAAGTCTGTTACTATGTACCGTATGCTTGTACAATAAATAGTTTCAGACATCGATTTAAGATCCTGGTGGGATGCTGGGTTCGGTGACTCATCTCTGGAGCCAGTATCGATTTGTTTCTGTCACTTTCTAGTGGGTTTGGAATGTTAGTCCATCTGCTTAATTTACTCTTCAATATTTACTTTATTCATTAATATGACCATGTGAAAATATAATTTTAATTTTGTTTACTTTCAAACTCTTCATACCAAGTCTTAGTGCTACCTACGAACATTCCGTATTGTTCTTTTTACTATTCATTAATTCATACTTAATTATCATTTTGATGATTTATTTGTTCAATTTAAATAGGATGTCTGTTTTGTCTTTTCCTATAAAAACACATTTATGTATTTAGATATTTCAAGGGGAAGGCAGTTTACTCGTGTTTGAAAATAAATAGTTGTTTAATTTTAAAACCAATAATCTGATGTACGATAAATCGCATTAATCATCAGTTGACACACCAATGTTTAAATTGGTATTACTCACCTTTAGATGTTAGTCATCACTGTGTTTATTAGATATAGAACTATCCTCAAAATTATTAATTAAGTAAATGACGTAGATGTTAAATGAATCTTTAGTCCTTCTTCATTTAAACAAAAAAATGAATTGAGGAAGATCGTTTCTTTTTAAATCTCCTCCCAAAGAATGTACGTCCTCTGTTGCCTTGAAAGAAGTTAAATTTATTCGTCCTGTGCCTGTTGTATTTACCATGAAGTATGTGAGGTGCATAGTATACGAAATTGTGTATTCATTGCTGATTTGTTGCTGATTGAATCTGCATGCATTGATTTGTAAGACCTCTTGTTTGATTTCCTAAGTTTGATGATACTTCTATTCGTCCTTTACTAGCTTTCTATAATGTAAGTTCTATAATGAAATCAATGGCATAACAAACTATTCTCAAAATTATCTATTTTACCAGACTTTAGCTTTACGATCTCATATATGCATGCATACATATTATTTTGTTGATAATTTAAACCCAAAGTATATAATTTCATTCTGTAAACTTAAATTTTTATTTGGTATGATAGAGATTTTGTCGTTTTCCTTTCTTAACTAGCGTGGATTTAACTAACATATTCGACAGTAAAAAGTTTATGGAAGGTATTAAAACGTCTGGCACATTAAAAGTTACTTCGGACTAATAGCGTTGTTGAAAACATCATTAGAAGAAGGAATTTATCAGCTCCTATAATGCATGGTGTTTATCTGAGTAATTCTATTTATATTTATAGATGTCATTTATAGAAGCTACAAAGTTGTTTTTTTCTGATGTATTATTTAAGAAAAATAAGTTTCAAAATATCGTTAATAATTAAATTAATTAATTTATTCATTCATATAATGAATTATTGTTATATAATTAAGTATTTGAATAAACTTTTATTGTAATTCGATTTATCTTACAAACGGCTGTTTTACCGTGAATAAATTAAAGCCGTTATTTCTATGGATATTGTTTTATTCAAAAGTGGTAAAATAAAAAGTTCCTTCCAGTGTCGAGTTATTAAATCGACATTTGTTTGCAAGTTTTGGATTGGTTCATTGTGCGTTGTGATTTGTTCTTATTGACTTTATTTTCCATTTAAAAAATCCATATTTCCGTCCTCCTGAGTCACCGTAAAAATACCATACATTTCACGAGCTCTCAGTCATTAATTAATAGTTATAAATGGATTGGTTTACGTGCTCTGCTATTTAGGTAATATATTTATTAATTTGTTTGCAGGACTATTTATTATTGAGTCATTTACGCTAATTATTAATTTGACTGTAGAAACGATTAAGACTTATGTTATAGGGGTTCACCTTAATTTCTTCTTATCAGAAAAAGTGTCGTTGCTGTAAGCATTTTCCGCTTTCACTGGTTGACAAACTGTTATGCATGGCGTTGTTACCGCCCTAGAGCAGCAGGATTGTTTTTTTTCGCAGCTGCTACAGCCATTGGTCCATCTACTTTCGTACTACAATATTGCGTTTTATAACTACCACATTATTTGTTAAAATCGTAATATTATATTTATAGATTTGATTTTTTTTTTTTTTTTTTTATACTTGTCAAGAGTGCCCATCTCTCCCAAGGCCGTAATTGTCCGCCCTCCCATTCTCACGAAATTTGATTGTTCTATTGTTAAAACAGTGCAAGCGAAAGAAAGTTTAGAAAAAAAATGTAGATTATATACAATTACATTTGTATATGACCTACACATTCATCTCGTACATGTTTTCCCTTATCCCCTGGCTAATAACTTTTATTCCAAAACTCAACCCCGTAGATATGTGCCTCCCTCGAAAATAACAAATCTCGTCAAAATGTGCTCGCCCTCAAAAATTTTAAACTTGCTTAACGTAATCCCCTTCTGAGCACCCCTGATACTAACTAGTTTAAATCTATAAAAAAGGAATTAAAAAAAAAAATCGAATGCGCTTAACACACAACTTTCACTCACTTCTCCACTTTGAACAGAAATTATTGTCTTTTAAAATTAGGCTATACAAAAAGTTATTGAAGTGAATTTTTAATGGAGCTAAACCTTGAAGACCACATTCGTGAATTTCGATCATATTTATCAATACAAACACTCTTAAATCATTTTAACACAAACCCTATTTATTGTATGGATGATAGGCAATAAAAACTACATAATTCTGTTTGAACCACATAACTCGTCTCTGAGCTGTATATAAAATATAGATTTGCAAGTACTTATATTTAATTAAGGATAAGTAAAATGTTAGATGAATTAAACCTCTATCGCTTCTTACATGTATTAAAAGTCTTATTTTATTTCTTGTAAAATTTACTAAAGTATAGTCACGGCTTTTTCAATCTAGCATTGATCGATCAAAAGTTGTGAGACTAATTGTAAAAGTACAATGTTGTAATTTCACAGAGGGAAAATTCATCAAATTATTCACTCATTTATTTTTCTAAAATACTATCAAATGATGTTTTGGAAAAAATCGATGATATATACCTAATTACTTATTTATATTATCTGACCTAAAGTTATTAAATGTCAGTAAATGCTTGTTAAGGTTTTACTGTTATAAACATGTTTTACTCGCCCATTAAATATTTTTACGTTCTACTTCTTTTGTAACACTAGTACAATAAAATAGATTTTAAACAATTGCATTGCCACGATCGTTTGGATTATATGTACATTTTTACAAACTTGAAAATAATTTTAAAAGTTCACATTTAGCTAGGGAATTTCATTTTGTTTCCATGGAAAGATTTATTTTCTGTTAAATAATATTAATTTTCAAAAATTATTATTTATGATTTTATCGTTACTCTCCATTATTTTCTAAGACTGTATATGTTAGATATTGTTTTTTTCTAAAATTCTCAGTTTTATAGCGATACATATCACAATAAATAATTGTCATGTGACGTTATAACGTTATAATATGAATATAACGATAAATAATCGTCAGAATGTATATGTATAATGATAATACGTACACATTCAGACGGTTATTTCTGGAAATTCATTTTCACTCTAATAAAAATCATTTTCCTTTTTTCTCCTTTAGTCTCTTATCAAATTATGTCGTTGTTTATGTTGTGCCTTTTTTTTTTTTTTTATTGAAAACGAGAAGCAATGAATTATTTAAAATAAACAAAGTTAAAAGTACTTTAGAAGAACAAATTTTGAAACGTTGGTATTTAAGCCCCGATAAGTGTCATAAGTGTGTAAAATCAATTTGATATATGTTACTCATATAAGTAAATGAATAGTTCCCGGCCCTCACCCTCCGACCTGGGAAAATCCCGTATAGGCGAAGTAGAGAAGAACAGAAAAAAAATAAATAAAAAAAATATTTATAGGTAAATGAAAAAAACTATACTAAACTCAA